CACATGTGCAGCAGATGAAGTGGTTTTGAAAACACGGAAGCAGTTTGATCCATTCCACCCGAATTGACGCCAACGAGTCGTTCTGCTCGTTGAGAAAGAGCTCATTAGCTCGTTGCCTCATTTCATGGCTAGCAAAGGTCGTCCACTGACCACTCTCGATGGCGACTTCGGTCACAGCTCGCCTCGTAACGACGTCAGGTCCCTCCCTACGACCAACAACTTCAAGAATGGTGATGGCACTTGCTGTCGTCATGGCAGACGACGAGCTCAGTCCCGAACCTTCTGGCACAGTTCCCCAGACTTTGATCAAGATGTAGTCAGGTTTGTTGACGTCTGTTGACTTTGAAGGATGATCGTGCAAATGTTTGAGGATACCCTGCCACGAGTGTTCGAATCAGAAACCTCGCGTCAGCAATGGAGCCTAGAACAAACTTTGCTTGAACGCCTGACCTTTGTTCCGGCGATAAAGTAAGAGCTCCAGTGATGGTCATCTGGCAAGCTCAGGTGAGAACCACTCGATTCTACGTCAACTTCAAAGTGAGTGTCTGTATATTTCGAGTCGACGTTGTGCAGCACGACAACGGTTCGTCCTGATTGAGAAGGTTTTGGCAAGTTGTCTGTCGACGAAGGAGATGTTGAGAATGCAATCAAGACGTCTCGTTCAACAGCAGCAGGTAAAACGGAGCTGTCGGCGAGTATGCAGGCAGACCATTGTCAGTCAGCAATGATGCGCAGCAAGTCGCCAACAGACGTCAGACGAGCGTGCGAGCCACAGACTGCGAGCTTACAAGCCACAGTAGTCGATGTGATCGCCTGTTGGGGAGTTCAAATGGTCAATTGATTGAATGTACGAGCGTTGTAAGCGAGGTCAAGTCCAGCTCGGCTGACTATCGTTCATGCTCGACGACTGCTCCCCACCTCACGCATGCACATGAGCTTGCACGCGGAAGTTCAAGGACGCTTACCGATGATATTGACTCGACCAGGAGCTCTAACCACCTTTTGAGGTTTGACGCCATAGTCTTCTTGAAAAGCTTGGGCGAGCTGATTCCAGCGTTGACCTTGGTGAGCGAGCGAGCTTTCGGTGTACACTTGATCGAGGGACGTGGACAAGGGGATAGGACTGTTGGGCACTGAGAGCAAAAGATGTCGGTTCGTTGCCATTCACAATGCCCTGTCCTAACACAATGCTCACTGTTGCTGGTTGGAGCCAGACCTGCCCATGGGTGATGCGTTTCGAGTGGTTGCTTTCGGTCGACAGCATTGAACATATTGAAGCAACGCTCAAGTACGAGTGAAGGACAAATAGTGAACCTCTTGTTAGCGCTCCACGGATACAAAGTCAACACTCTGCAACAAGCGTGACAAGCAATGTCACGTGACCAGCATGAGGCTTCGCGGTCGCGCGGACCTGCGACTCTCTCTTGTCCCACAGCCACAGCATGGCTTCGTCAAAGGGTACACCATCAACACTCAACTCCGTCATCAAAGGCACATCACATGAAGCGCATCGTGACCTTGATTCTGTGTCATCCTCGACGACGACTGACAACAATTCGTCAACTGGATTTCGTCATCAACGTCAATGGCCCGCAGCAGGAGGTGGAACAGATGATGACTTTGGCAGATTCGTATTTGGTTCCGAATCTCTCACGAATACAAACGCAAGCTGGCAGCAATCCACTTCGACGCTCAACAACCACCTTCATCAAGCTCACAGAGGTACAGCAGCTCGTGATGGCGAAGACATTCAAGCGTTATTGAATGGCTCTACATCTCTCACAGATCAAGTTTATGGAGATTGGCACAACGAACTGGCAGAACAGCAATCGAGACAACATGACCAAGATTCGACCATGCCACAAGACCCAGTCGTTGCCAGGACAATTTCACGGACGGAGAAAGGCAAAACAAAATTGACACGGTTCGATGACGACAGTGACATGTCAACCGAAGAGCTCGAGCTCGTGTCTGCCGTGTCGTCCTTAGACTTGGCAGATCGAGAGTATCTCAAATCGCTGTTGGCACGACCTGAATCGACAGCGATTGTCGACTATCTCAGAGGGAACACGTATACCGATGACGTCTATGGAATACCTGACAAGGTTCAGAGAGTGCTTGATCAGGCCAAGGCAGGGACAGAACAGACGGATGAAGGAAGGTCGAAAGCTTTGAGGCGGTTGGCCATGGTCATGAGACATCTGGAGCATTGAGTGCACATATTGAAGCGCCCTTGTTGTATTCCCAACCTGCACAGGAAAAACACGCAAGCTGTGCACACGATGCTACAAACCAAACGGCTCAAGCATTGTGGCAACGAAGAGCGCTCGCCCGCCATGAGGCGTCTCGCCTGCATGCACGGCTGAGCGAAACAATCTGTCAGCTATTTCTTGGCTGGGGAATACCTCCTCTGTACAGACTTCGAGTGCATACATCGAGGTCCGAGCGCGTCGGCAGCTCGGCCGAGTTGACCCTGCCTTTCGCGCTGCTCGCAACGCTCGATCCGTCTGCATTAGACCGGCCGGCCGTATCCATCTTTTATCCTTGATCTCCGACAATTGACCAAGAGATTGGACGCTTACAGCTTCCACGCCTCGTCACTCAACCGATATCGCGGCTCCACACCTCGTCATCATTGGCTCATTCAGTCTGCCAAAATCATGTCTGCACCAGCACAACAATCAACGATAGAGTATCTTAAATCCCTGTCGTCAATCCGAGAACGTTGCTCTCAAGTGTTCCAACTGGCAGAACGTGACGAGCTTGAGTACTGGACAGTCGATTTGACAAAGCAGGATGACATTGTTGAATTTGTTTGTTCATTGATTGAACGTGATTATGGGACAGAGTATGATTCAATTCCACTTCATGGTAGATGGAGACATTTCGTTGGCAACAGAGTCGATCCTTTGTTGAAACAGTGGGAACGAGATCAAGTTGATCAAATTGAAGTGGCCAGAAGAATGTTTGATTTGATGGTCAGCTCGGTTTTGATGGATGCTGGTGCTGGAAACGTATGGAAATACAAGCCGAAAGATGCAGGTGAACCCATCGCAAGAAGTGAAGGTTTGGCCGTCGGAAGCTTAGAAATGTTTGAGCACGGCTTGTTCTCTGGAGTCAAAGATCAACCATGCAGAGTCGATGGTAAGCTTCTGACACTGTGACTGATGTTTTGTTTACTGTCGAAGCTGATCGCCCAACCCCTTTCCCTCGCGAGAAGCCGAAGGTTTGGCACGGATCACCACGGAGCAGATCTCGCGAGCCATGCAAGTTTCTGAAAGTAATCCGATGACTGGTATAGAAGGAAGAGCCCAACTACTCGTGCGACTCGGAGATGTTCTGAACGATGCCAGCAACGAGCGCTACTTTTCGTCACCAAACGATTCAGCAAAACGACCAGGCAACATCATCGATTACTTGCTTGCACATCCGACATCACAGCAAATTCCTTCTCCAGGATCATACAACATTGCAGTTCAAGTAAACACCCTTTGGGACGTCGTCGTCAATGGACTCAGCGGCGTGTGGCCTGCCACTCGAAGCAAGATTGATGGCGTCAGCTTGGGCGATGTTTGGCCTGTCATTTGTTTGGCCAAAAATGCCAAAAGTTCGACCGACGCGCTGGTGTCGTTTCACAAACTCAGTCAATGGCTGACGTATTCTTTGATCGAGGTGTGAGTCGCCCGCCTGTTGACGGTCGGGTGAATAATTTGATATGACCTGACAAGCTTCGAGCAGGCTAGAGACAATCCTCTCATGGAAAGTGCTTGGCAAAGAAAAAATGACTGGTTTGCCAGAGTACCGGAATGGTAAGTCGCAAAGCGTGAGATGGACCAGCGTACTCAGAGCTAATGATTTACCGAGTTCAGGCGGCCTCTTGATCGATTTCGGTCTGTTGCAGCCCAGAATACCGCAATTACTTGAATCTTTCGATATGAATGTGCCACAAACATTACCTTCGCTGCTCGAAATCCCACCCCTCGATCCTTCCCATTCGGCCGTGGTCGAAATGCGAGCCGTTACTATTATCATGCTTGACAAATTGGCAGAAGGTATTAGGAAACGAGTCGGGGTTGACCTCACATTGCCCCAAGTGCTCGAAGCAGGCACATGGAAAGCAGTGAGCAATCTGACGGAGAGAAGCGATCGATTACGAATTCCAAACTGACAAGGGGTTTCGGCAGGGACGTGAGATTGCAAAAAAGCTGAGACCAGACACAGGAGGACCGCCCTTTCAATATGGTGCGTGTATTTTTCTTAACGGACTTATAAATAGCAGCTAACAGATTTGTTATGCAGTGGCGGACGGTACCGTGTTTTAGCTTGACCCTACCGCGTTGGACAGATATAGGGAAGAATGAGACGCATCGGAACCATGTGTAGGATTCCCGATTGTATGACGATACAAGCCCCGAGCTGTGGTGTGATGATGCATTGGAACAAGGTCATCGGTTCAGAGAAATCATTTCTTGGCTTTCGCAGATCGCTGGTCACCGCGCGACAGATTTTCGTCGCATCATCGTCATTCGATTGGCTAGTCTCACATCTTGCTCTTCGACTCTGTGGGGGTTGATGACGACGAGCCACCCCTTGCGTGAAGCGATCGTTGATTAGTTGCTTGTCTAGATAGTGGCAATGCAATGAAGCAACTCGTAGATAAAAAAAAAATCCATAAGACGGCGCTCCTTTGGGAGTTCGACCGGCGAACCGCTATGTGCCTCGGTTGGCAGACGTGTACATTCAAACAATGACTACCTTAGGTCTTGACCTTCAGATTGTACGTCAAACCTACTGTCATGCACTGCAATGCACGCATGGTGAGCTGCCAAACACTGGACAAAACTTCAAAGCGCGACTACGGACGAATGAAGCACGCTATGGCACCCAAATTTTGCCAGCACAATAACATAATCTTAAAATGCTCAAAATAGCCCAATTTGACCATATAACGTGGTGTTTGGTAAGTTTATATTTTGCGGGTAAACCTGATAAACGTTTTCTCCCCTGTGGCTTAGTTGGTTATAGCAGTATGCTTATATTTTTCTAATAAGGGAAACGTACCGGTCGCGAGTTCGATCCTCGCCAGGGGAACTTTTTTTTGCTTCACCTTCATTCTGCTCGGTGTCACTCTGCTCTCTGTGCCTCATGGCATTTCTTTGTTTCCGTGAATCTTTCTGGCATACGTGTCATGGCTAGTCAGCGCGATGAGCGCGACCGCTCATGCGTTATTACTGAGCGGAAGGTTCGAACGCGCTATCGTGTAGCAATGTATGAGGTAAGAGGTAATGAAGGATGCACAGAAATACTAATGATGGTACTGATGGCTGCTCAAGTACATCCCGCTCCTCCTGCGACAGACCTCCTAGGTGGCGCTATCGCTTCGCGGCCTTCTCAGGTCTCACACAGCCGCAATCAGACTGCACGGGCACGATCGCGTAAATGAGGCATCAACACGCATGAGAAACGAGATTTGTGCTGACATGACTTGTCGACTGTTGCCTTGGGATTGCTGTAGCGAGAGCTCACTCCTCTAGCGTTCTCAAGCCCTTGCAAAGTCGACGTGCCAGGGGGCAAGTATCGGCAGTGGCGCTGAATGACTCTTTGGTCAAAATCTGTGAAAGTTTGTGACAAGATTGGGTTGCAGAGTGAAAGAGACACTGAAGGCTTACATGACTGTTTCCGGTCGGGAACTGTGCATTAAACTTCTTCGCACTCACCTGCAACAGCTGAAAGTCGCTCACAAAAGATATTGAGATTTGGAAGACTTTTCTTGACCAAACGAACCCCGTGGGCAGAGTCTATAATGTCAAGACGGAAAATGAAGTTTATTGCACCTCAATGTTATTTCTGAATGTAAAAAACAACTTGTATAAAATTCGAGTTACGCGAAGTTTAAGCAATCATCCGCAACAACATTCAACCTCGAGTTTGCATGGAGGGTCCCGATATCCCATTGGTCAGGTCTCGAGCTTGAGAGTGAGAGTCAGGCTGTGAGAAGAAAGTCAAATGTAGCGTAATTGAAAATAGGAGTCCAGCACTACAGCTGTGCCACGCTTCAATCGGCTCGTTGATTCGCAGACAAACTTTCACAGGAGGGGCTCGCTGGAGCTTTTCCCAAAGATCTTCAGAGGATGCTTAGAATTGATGATTTGAGATCGAATTCGCTTGCTAGGGCTTTGGAATTTGACTGCAGCTGAGCTGCAATGACAACGAACAAAAGTTCGAAATTTTGCAACCGGATTTGTGGGCCAGGAGAGCATTGTGGCTTCTATCCTGAATCTCGTATTATGACAACCAGTCAAGTACGGGGAAATAAGTACGGAATTCGAGTGCAAGCTTGGCAAGCCGGATTGCTTGAGCGAATCTCACATCTTGGCGGTGGTTAGGTGGTTCTGGAACAAGAGTTTGCCAAAGTCACGAAGACTTCAACCCACGCAATTTCAAGTTAACTCGTGGGATAAAGCTCCGAACGTGTACAAACGTCGCATTGAAAAGTGTTCTGACCCGTACGTGGCCAAGTTTTACCCAAGCAAATCATCAAAGCAAGGAATGACATGCTAGCCGAAGCCCAACGGATTTTGCCCGTGTTCTTGTACGTCAACTCGCTTCATACGGCGAGAGAACAACTCGAGGCTCGAGCTGATTGTAAGGCTCACGAGGTGAGGGCACTGTAACCACCGTTGACGCTCGGTGACGCCGCAAACGAGCGACTAAAGTGCGTGCGATTCTTCGGGGGGGCGGTGCAGTCCAATTTGTGCCTGAGTTCTCAGTTATTGTTGCTCATCTTGAGCGAGGATTTGAGCGCCGAGTACATTCTCGGAGTGACAGACGCGAGCTCCTGTCAGGTCCTGGAATTCTCCCATAATATTCTATCAGCCTAAATAGAATGAAAATAAAATAAAATAACTTTCTTATTCTAGTTTGATAGAGTTTGCTCATAAAATTTTGATCTTCCTCAAATACGTCAATCTAGGCGTAAAGTTGAGCTACCACGACATCATGTTGATCGTCAGGTCTCGTCGGTCGTCGAGCAGTAGTCATGGTTTGTCGTGCAATTGTTTTTGTGTCTGCTTTGCAATCAAGATCGGAGTTTTGAACCACACACAATGCAAAACATGTGGTGTTGCCGCGGTGAAGGAGCTTGCAGCGCGCTCGGGTTCAATTCTGTGGTCGGCGTCGTACAAAAAAGCCTGAGCTCATTCTCGTCAGAAAGTTTCTTTCAAATTCTCAAACAAATGAGCGAGTTATTCAAGGAAGTTTTGCACCAGGCGAGAGCAGACTCGGAACAGAGAGCACAAAAGAAGGCAGTGTTGCAAACTTTCACACGACCAAACGCAATCGGAAAAAGACATGAAGGCAGAACGACATTAGCAACAATCCATTCAAACACATCAGACTCGCTCCGTTTAGAGCTTGTCATAGTAGTTGTCAAGCTTGGGGATTTCGGGCTTGAGGCCTTTGCGAGTACGGATCGCGATAGCGAGGTCTGTAACCTTGCCTGGCTCGATCGACGAGCCCTGCATCGTTTGCCAGTGATCAAAGACGAGCTGTGGATAACCAACACCATGTTGTGCAGTCAGCAACTATGTAGAAAGCGAGCGCGACGACAAGCGGACTCACTTGAGGGAAAGCCTGGCCACCAGTGGCTTGTCGGAGCTCGCCAGTGAAACCGAACGATTCGTTGACAGGCAAGTAAGCCTTGACAGTGTACATAGGTGTACCTGGTCGCTGCTCCTCCGAGAAGACGTGACCACGCTTCCTGTTGAGGGTCGAGTAGATACCACCGAGACCGGTCTCGGGGCACTGAATCTCGACCTGGTAGACGGGCTCTTGCAGACCAGGGGTGGCCAACAAGTTGGCGGCGTACACGACACGTCGGCAAGTTGGGATAATCTGACCACCACCACGATGAATGGCATCGGTGTGGAGCGTGACATCGAGAATGTTGTAGCGAGTGGCACGCATGGGCTCCTCAGAGACTGCAGAGTGACGAGACCACGTCAGAAACATTGCTGACTACGTATGTCATCGTGCCATGACTCACCGGGTCCTTCCTTGGAAGCCCACTGGAAAGCGGCAACGCAAGAATCCTTGATTTCGTTCAAGTACTGGACGGCCTCTGCATGACGAGTGAGAGGTCAGAACGAAGCGCTCAAGCACTCTGGATAGAGAGAAAGAACGCACTGGTGGTGTCGACAAGGAAATTGGGGCCTGAACCATCAGGACCGAAGCACCAAATCTTACGAGCGTCGGTGACATCCCATCCGTGCTCGTCAGCCAAGACACGGGCACGCAACTTGAAATCGTCACGAGGACCGATGGTGCCATCCTCGACAGCCTTGGCAACCTCCTCAGACATAGGCTCAGCCTTGGCCCAGATACGGTTATGCTTGTTCTGAGACTTGGACAAGGCGGTCATGGAAGACTCGGCCTGGACGGTCTCACGGTAACCGACGACAGGGTCGGAGATCTTGAGAGGGACACCAGCGTGATCCTCGACCAAATCCTTCAAACAAATTTCCAAGTGCAACTCGCCAGCACCGGCGACGATGTGTTCACCAGTCTCGGCAATCCAAGTTTGAACGCAAGGGTCGGACTTTGACAAGCGCTTCAAACCTTCGACGAGCTTGGGCAAATCGTTGGCGTTCTTGACTTCGACAGCGACTTGAACGACAGGTGAGACGGAGAACTTCATGACCTTCATGTTGTGGGCGGTTTCACTTGTAGTGAGCGTACCCGACTTGAGCAAGAATTGATCAACACCGACCAAACCGACGATGTTGCCGGCAGGGCAGTCCTCGAGAGGGTCAACCTTGCCACCCATCATCAACACGGTTCGCTGAATTGACTTGACGAATAAGTCGTCCTTCTTGCCGGGGACGTAGTTGGGGCCTTGGATGCGGATCTTAGGGCCAGCGCGGACGGTACCGGCAAAGACACGGCCGAAAGCGTAGAAGCGACCCTTGTCGGATGTAGGAACCATCTTGGAGACGTACAACATCAAAGGACCTGAAGCGTCGCAGTCGCGGATGGCAACGGCGGCCTCGTCATCGAGAGGACCCTCGTAGAGGGTCTCGACTCGGTAACGTTGAGCCGTGACGGGCGAAGGCAAGTGGACGACGATCATCTCCAACAAGGAGTCACCGGCAGGTAAGAACTTCTTCATGACGACCTTGAGCAAGGCCTTGCCTTCCAAGTCTTTCTCGTCCGAGGTCAAATTGATCTCGAGTTTCTCCAACAAGGTAGGGATGGCGTCCTTCTTGAAGTTCATGACAGCGTCAAAGATTTTGAAAATGGGGTCCAAGACGAACATGTTGAAACCACGCTCGAGCTGGTTGCCATCGGCATCAGTGGCCTTTGATGACCATTTCTTGGTCTTGGGGTTGAAGTACGAGTCACCCCACAACTTGGGCATCAATTTGGTAGGCGAAACACCGAACTTTTTGGCGTAGCGGTTGGCGAATTGACGCAAGGTGAAGGCCCAGCCGTGCAAGCCGGAACCAAAAGCGACCGTACCGTTCTCAGGGTAGACCTGGACGTCACCGAGGGCCTTGTCGTTGTACATCGAGATGATGACGTTGACCGACTCGATCGTACGGGCGAAGGTTTGGTACAACTCTTCCTTTGAGATTTGCAACTCGAGCAAAGCACGGTCGACCTTGTTGATGACGACGACGGGCTTGATGCGCTCACCGAGAGCTTGACGCAAGACAGTCTCGGTTTGGACGCAGACACCATCGATAGTGTCGACGACGACCAAGGCACCATCGGTGACACGCAAAGCGGCTGTGACCTCTGACGAGAAATCAACGTGACCAGGCGAATCGATCAAGTTGATCAAGAAATCGCGACCTGCACACAGCGAAAAAGTGGTTCAGTTGTATGCTCAAACGCTGTCACACAGGAACGACAGAGACTGACCGTCCATCTTTTGCTTGACGTCCTCGACGTTTTCCTCGGGCAATTCAAAGTACATGGTAATGGCAGTCGACTTGATAGTGATACCACGCTCTTGCTCGTCGGCACGAGTGTCCATGGCACGTTGATCACCAGCCTTAGCAGAGGCAATGATACCAGCCTTGGACAAGAGC